TCCATAACGACGTCTCTTAATTTTTTTTTTTTTTTCTCTGCAAAAATGTAGGGGATTACTTTCTTTTGCTTAAATATCGGCCATGTGAACAGATCATTTATTTGTAGGTAATTTTGCCCAAAGTAATATTTCCTTTGTGAATGTGAACTGACTTTATACAAGTATACGTCTATGTAAATATTGATAAAGGAGAAACGGCTATGTAATTTTAAAACTAATATAATAAATATTATGAATTTACATGAAATGCATGTAGGATTTGGTAGATGAATAATAACAAAATAAAACAAGGGATCGACAGTACACTTTTAGTTTTACGGTATGACCACTAAAAGGCACGATTAAGTCGACGATATCCAAAATATTGCACAGACCATGATTGCTCGAGCTAAAAATATGACAAGAATATTAGGAGTACAAAGCCTTTACAATTACTCGCGGTTCGATGAGTATTGTGATGTGTGTCCAGATACCCTTAGGCTGTTAGGTCTAGACAGGTGTGTTTAGAAAGATGTGATCTGACTTTCAAATCAGTTTGATCCAACCTTACTCATTTCAAATAGGAATCACTTTAATTTTTCCCCTCTTTATTTGCCCTCTTGCAAATGTTGTTAATTGACATCTATTACCCGTTTCCCTTTCTAAACTTTTCTATGTAATTTCCATTACTCATCAATAATTTTCGTCTCTGTCCGTCTCTTTTTCTTCCTCTCTTTCCCTCTCTCATATATATATATATATATATATATATATATCAAATGTCCATCTTAGTATGCCCTATGCCATTTCTAAATTTTCTTCGTATGTGCAGTAGTATATTTCCAGCTTGTCGTCATACTCTCTCCACCCCTTCTCCTCGAATATCTCTGCCTCACTTTTCTCTTAATTCCTTCTTCCTATCGATTCACTTTGCAACCAGACCTCCCTCCATCTTGAAACAAAGGACAAGATCAAAAAATTTCACACCAATCAAAAGTTCGTATTATGGGTTCATCGTGTATTTTCGTCACTCATCTTGCCACAACAGACACAATGCTCCATATAAGGGTAAAAGAGAACGTTTACTTTTAACCGTCGGAATTCGGTGCTTCCACCGATGCTCAGACGAATCCTTTCCCTCCTTTTGTCCGTGTCAGAATCTACAATTTTCTTTCACGGAAACTCATGTTCAGTGTGTGTCTGCAGCGGATTGCGCGCCACTCCATCACTCTAATTACGAGTTTCAAATATCCCGACAAACCCAATTCCTGTTTTCCTTTCATTACTTACGATATTTTCTCCTCCACCATCGTGAATGGAAGAGACGATATCTACGTTATACAACGCCATGGCCTGCATCGTTCGAGGTAAACGCACGAACGTTCAGCTACAAACGGTGTGCAGGAAGGTAGTATTTCAGTTCAAACGAAGCTGAAATACATTGTACACAATCACGACATCGAAATGAAAAGAATCCTGTCAGCCAGGTTCACTCTGAAAAACTGTGATTGTGACAAAGCCCACTCTCCTGTCATTTCATTTCACTTCTATTCAAGCTAAATGCAGAATAACTGAATTTAGGAGAAGGAATTCGGTAGATTATTGAAAAGGCCGTTCACAAAAATGTTATAATTTTCATTTAATGACCCATTAACGTCAACATTTGAATATATATTTTTACATGCCTATCCTCTGAAGATATTTGAAAGAGTTTAAGAAAAAAAAGGAAAAGAAAAGATAGGACTAACGAATGCATTAGTCTGTAGATAAATTAGAAGGCAAACAATTTTATGGAAATGATTAAAACGTAAACAGAAGACAGAGAGTATTTTAAACTTGCACGAAGAAAAAAATAGAAATTCTTCGTCCCAAATTAAGGCCTAATTACTTTGTACTCTGAAAAAATGCTAAAATGCTCGTCATTAACTGTCGCAGTATTTTAGTACGCTTGTACATCATGCCCAAACACAATAGAATTAAGCATTTCGAAAGATTCCGTATAACCGTGTTACCTGATACTTATCTCTACTTCGTTCAATTACGATTCAATTAAGGTAGAAGCTTTAATAGTGATACCAATCAGACTGGCGACCTATAATACAAACGAAATATCATTTTATTGATTAAATCTAAAACCATAAAGGAGCTAAATGGACCATTAACTTCAGGAGAATATATTTATTGCTTTTTTATTCCACACCCCTAAAATACTTAATCAGACAAAGAAGTTAGATAGACATAGAGTTTTTTTAAAATATAAAATACTGTTACATGTTTTGGAAATAGACAGTATGTGAAATGAACCAAAGATGACTGTGTTGAAAACAGGGAAAATTAAATTACTTTTTCACATTTCAGCGTCACATTTAGTGATAACACGGTCTATAACTTGCCCTTTCGCTGTTTTATGAGTAAATTTTCGCACGCCCGTTCCAATCATCAAAGTAAAGAGAGGAGGGAAATATCAGAAAAGGTCATTTTAGTATGGTTTTCACCTTTTCGTCGCGATGTTATTTTTTCCCTTCCTGCAGGGATAGTGACTGAACGTTAATACTGCCAACAATTTGCTGCAATGACGCCAAACTAAAAAGAGCGTGTACGTTGAGCCTGAAGCGATCCACCAGTGCAATCTCCGGTTACATTGCCCGCCTTACACGTCCCAATTCTGAATTCAAGTTGTTTGGATTTTCGTGCTTTTATTTGCAGTTTTCATTGTCACGGAACCGCAACAGGAGTTCGAATGGCCCATTAGTTTGAGGTTTTATTCCGCCCCTTGTAACATGCCTCAGAGCGGGCAGAAACTTTAGAGAGACAGACAGGAAAAAAAAAGAAGAGAGAGAAAGGATGAAATGATCCAAAAAAGGACGGGGGAGTTTTCAGTCGAAGAAATCGTCTCAGAATACTGTTATTTTCTTTTCTATTCAACCATTTCGTCTTTTGTGGGTTATGCGAAGTTTTTCAAGTGCAAGTGGGAACCTCACAATAGAAGTAACATTCAGACGATCCTTGCACCCATTAGAAGTTAATACTAGGTCACAGGGAGCGTTCTCACAATATTCGTCTCATCATTCTCTCCCTAAAGCGGCAAGGCTTCTTTTTTTTTTCTTTTTTAGAGTAAACTTTTCGATTTCATCGTTCGGAATGAAGGTTTGAGAATTCAGTATCGCGGTTTGCCTCGTTGTAATTTCATACAAACATGACCAAGTATGAACAAGCCTGTAACGTTTTGATTTCGCCTGGGTGACATCGAGTGGTGATGTATCACTCAGATGCTAATAAGGGGAAGCTCTATGCAGAGAATGTTGGTTTAAGAAGCTCAAAAGGCTAGGCTACTATACCTTAGAGAGTACACCCAATGCAGGTACTTCACGGGCCCTAACTCCCCGCATAATGACTGAGCTTTTGGGGGAACAAAGGCTTGGGCTTTGAGAAGCAGGCAAAATATTTTGACATCTTGATTTCCATAAACTGTGTGCCCATTGCGCGACTCTAACCTGTGATCACTTAAGCAAACTTTGACAAGTAAGACGAACCATTAGTGTGAAAAAAGTCCCAGTGACTTAAGGACTTAAGTCTGTGTACAAAGAAGACATCGTTCTACATCTTCGCATGGATGTAGACGGTGTACTTCTTAAACACTTTGAAAACGCCAAAATACATTTCACCGTCTAAACATTTACAACATACATAATCAAGCGTTGTCTCATCTAATCATCTCGTTAATCGTATTCTGCGGAAAGGTATTCATGAGATCAAGGTTTTTTCAAAATCCAAACGAATGGGGGATATGATTGCCTGATATATCTGCCGCTACGCACGCGGCTATCCGAAATTGATCACAAGTAAACAGTCATTAAATCGTTTGATCAGCAGACTTTATACGTTACATATTAGGTATCAGGGACAAGTCGGATTTTGACCTGTAAGCCTTACATGTGCATGCCTGGTATTTAGATGTCAGTGTACAACGTGTAGTCAACAAAAAAAAAGAGGGGAAAAAAAGATAGTTCGTGTTAAATTTAGTACAAAATATTGCGCAGTACTTAAAATCCGGGGAGCGCTATAAATGGTTCGATCCGTTTTCAATGCTTAACACACATGCACATTATATATGTATGTATGTGTAAATATATATATATATATATATACATACACACACACGCACACACACTGTTGTCCCTAAAGTTTTTATAATTTTGTCTACCCTCTTTTATATAAAATTATTCTGACAGCTTTGGTTTTGTAGTTTTGTTCTTGATAGATATAGTTCTGAGAAGATTTAAACTGTATACATCAAGAATATATGATATTAATACAGTTCATAAAAAGAGGTAAGGAAGATTATTCCAACTTTATGGCAACAGTGTATATAATATAGGCCTAACAATTGTTATTGTTGTCATTTTGTTCTCAATGAGATATGCAATCGTGATAATGAGAATGTCGACATTACAAATGAAGAATATAAGGAGATAAGGTGACTTTCTGATAGCATTGCACTAGTTTCCTTACAGAACAAAAAGGAGTGTCTGAGAAAAAGATTTGGATATTTGGATGGAAGACGAACAGTATTACACATGGGACTGGATCGCCTTCCAAGTGATAGTAAAAGACGTTGTATTAATGGCGTCTCGAGCAGCGCCTAGCCTTAAGCACCACCATGCATTAACCCACAAAAATAATTGATGTTGTATCATAAATCTTGCCGCCGATGAATTTCTCGCAATGTGTTAATCTCCTACGATCATTTTCGCCGGGCGTAAAAATATGAAAATGAGCATGTGATAATATTCAATTATGTCTTTTCTGAGTCTTCTGGCTTTCGGTATCATTTGTTTCTAACCATTCTATTGCCTTTTTTATTGATCAAAATATAAATACGCATGTAAATCATAAGTATATTCTATGTTGTTAATTTTATCTTTATTTTTTATCTTGGTTTCTTCTAAATATTTACTAGACTTTGAACATTTTATGTGAAAAGCTTAAAGTTCAGGTTGATATAAGCAAGGGCAACTTACCTGTGTCATGAGGCGATCTGCACCCGTGCCTTCTTCATCCTTAAATACAATATCATCGTTATTGTTTGGAGATAGTGTGTTGAATCGTTCATCATTCCTGTTGATTCTCCCTTCAGGAGGCCCACTGGCACCAAATGTGTCTTCCGATATGTTGGGCACTCTCTGCTTGTATTGTAACGGGGTCCTGTTCCGGGGCCGATGTGAGGTCTTACCGGACCGGCCCGGGTGACAGGCTTGTGTCAATGCGATGAGACACAACACCGTGGTAATCTGTACCGTGAGCCACTTTACCATGTCCGCGCGAACCATGTTCGTCAGAGAATCTCCCTGGGCTTTCAAAATTGATCCACTTGCTCAACTTCCGATACCTCGTGGATTTACATTCCCCCTCCCTACCGCGAGCCTCATCGATAACCACCGTTTGAGCGACCCTGATAAGTTGAGCTAAAGCCAGAGCTTCATCATAGTTCTGAATCATCCACAGTACAATGTTTTTCATGAAGTTTCCAAGTTAGGGGTAAAGCGACTTTAAATTGACTTCCAATGGTATCCACAGTTGTGGACGCTATTTTGATATCTACGCAAGACTCTTGGCTTGACGTTTCCACCTCTTTATCCGCAAAATGTGTGACCGCTTCAACCATCCCATCTACCTTTTTATTCAGCGTCTGTCAGAAATACATTTAAAAAATGGCCTGTGCAATTCGAAGTCGAAGGACGGAGGGGGAAAAGAGGGAGAAAGAAGAGAGCATACAAAACACACAAGCGAAGTAGGGTCGCACGTTGATTGGTTGAAAATCAGCCGTATCCAAATTGTTTAATCAGCACCGTTAGTGGTATACTCCTCAGACAGAGGTGGTTGCTCGTACCCTCTCAGATCGTCAACCTGTTCGCTCTATTCTATCTATGACCCCACCCTCGCGAAGATTAGAAACATTCGGTCCCATCCATCTGGAAACTTTAAATTTTGAGTGTTTGAAAGCGAGACATTTTCTTTTGATGATTATTTCGGGGTAGCCCCTGAGTCTATGCAAAGAATCCACGTGTTTTATTTGATAGGCAGTGTCATGTTGCCCTTGCTGTGTGTGATGTATCATCACTCTAATCCAAACTTGTGATCGATATTCACCACCGATAACATTTTTCGGACGATAGTTCGAATGCACACATACCCCTCGAGTAAAGCACATCGGTGAATCAGGGAGACGGGTGAGTTCACATACAGTTCAACGTCGATGCCCCATTTCTCATCATATTGACGTGACTCGCTCGCCAATAGCACCATCTCTTTCACCATCCAAGCGAATGTAGAATTAAAAGAAAAAGAGAGAGGGGTGAAATAACATCAATGATTGCAAGTTGTTGCAAACGAAGTCTCAGCCCTCCGCTTAGAATCTATGTTCCTTGCACCCTTACCAATATCAATAATTGACTGCAATGGTCTCTTATCCGCCACATCGAGCAATAGTGAACCTTTCTACTACCACTGATGAAACACTTTTGCTTATAGTCTAGATCACGTGACCGTACACCGAAAAGAATCCAACAGTAAAGGAATCATCTAACATTTACTACTGAAATAATAGACAGTGGCGTATTAAAATGAGCAAAAACGTTTGGGGGAAGAAAAAAAATCATCAACCCCGCGGATCGTTTCTCAAAGTTGGGAGGGGGGCGGCGGGGGCTAAAGTATTACGATCAGGTAGAGTGTAGCGGGTGGAGTGTTAATTGGTGTGGGGTCCAGGGGCAGAGCCCCGGCGGGTGTCAGCTCGGGGTGTTTTAGGCGCTTAATTACGGTCAGATGGGCATATTTTACCTTGTTTGGGAGGCTGACAGGTCACTAATTGGTTCGGGATCCAGAGGGCAGAGCCCCCGGAAGCTTAGGGGTTTTAGGCATTAAATTACAGACAGATGAGCATCCAGGGGCCCATCTAAGGGCCCCTGGTGGGATAAAGGAGGCAAAGCGCCCCGAAGCTCATGGGTTTTAGGCATTAAATTACGGTCAGATGAATATCCAGGAGGCCCGCCTTAGCGCCCCTGGTGGGGTAAAGGGGGCAGAGGCTCCGGAAGTCCCGGGGTTTTAGGCATTTCATTACGATCAGATGAGCATATTTTGATAACTCATTTGTGACACTGGCAGGTCACTATTCCTTTTTTCTTTCCTTCCTTCTATTTCTCTTTAACATGCTTTCTCAAAAAAGTGGGTGGGGGGGGGGGGGGACTCGATCCCCCGATCCACGCCGATCCGCGTGCCCTGACACTTAGGATCCTAAATAAGCATATGTGTTGCGTAACTGTAAAGTACGCCAGTGAATAAGTAGACAAGCCAATTGATGTTCACAACATAAAGCAAATTATGAAATATCGTCAGTATAGGTAAGTGAATGAGCTGATAATTTGTCAACAACCCCTTAACAAGGATGTCCGCTGTCAAAGTCTGAAATACTCAAGTGAAATGATTTTGCCAAGTTTTCGAATTCAAGATATTTTTTCTCGAAGTTGGATTATATCTCGTAAAAGTGTTATTTAAAATGTCTACATCAATGTATTTTAGCCTTTTTACATAATCCGTGTCGTCTCTAGTAAGTTAAAAATGCCACACCTTCTCTCAGTCATGTCACTTGCCACTCTATCAAATATAAAAAGTTCCTTTTATTTAACGCAAAAATGGAAAGAAAGAGTACTTGAAAAAAGGTAAAGACTGTGAAACTTTAGGAACGGTAAACTCTATTTTAGGAACGGTAAAGTCTATTTTGCTCTCTTGAATATTAATAATTCAAAGGTCTTTGAGATGAAACAGGGAGCCTACCTATTTTACATTTTAATGTAGCTCGGAAAGGGCTTACTAATCAAGAATATAGCTCTGAATGATTGCACACATTGTAAAGATAAAGATTTGTTCTAATTTTGTTCAATGATGTACTGCCTATTTCTAATGTATGTCAAGAAATGTATCGTCTATTTTTTTCTTCATTTACATTTACATGAAATTTACTGAATGATAATAATACAATATTTATAAAGCACATAATAAACAAAAGTTTCTCTATGTGCTGTACGAGCATGAATGACGAGAAATATAATCACATAAAAGTAATCAACAAAGAGAAATATACAAATCTTATAACTACTAAAATGACTAACCTAACATAGTAAATAACATAATAAAGAGATACCTAACATGGTCAAAACAAATAACGTAAGTAAGGATAGTTTAAGGTAATTAATTAAGGCTAAAGAGGTGCGTTTTAGTAAAGATTTGAACGTTGCAAAAGTGGGTGCCTGTCGTATGAAATTGGGAAGATTATTCCAAAGGTTTGGTCCAATAACTGCAAAAGATCTGCCCCCGTAGAATACAGTATTGGTTTTTGGTACCCAAAGTAATACTTGATTGCTTGAACTTGATACCGTTCCAAGAATTTACATGACTTAAAGAAAGATGGTTTTCGAAAGGACTAGATGAAATGTAGTTATTATCTGTATGCCCTCTCGTATTGTAACATATCTGAATCCAGTATGTGGAATATTTTAGAAAACTTCCTCGCACAAATGTAGTTTACAATGTAGGTTAGAATCTCTATTGGTGTTACAGCCCATATGTGTTTATTTCTAAGTGAGAATAGTCAATGTCCTGCTCCTCATCATGATACGTTACTGAATAATTCACTCTTGATAATTATGGTAAACTATTGTATTGTCTTAGATAAAGATGGAGAGTGCCTATTCTCTTTGAATTCTATCATTTACAGACTCAGGTGTCTGGCTATAACTGCCCAATCTATATTCATCAATCTCCCCAGCTCTGCACCGCTGGCATGTTGGACGTTTACGATTGTTAAGATCAATTTGTCTTTTCAGAACATAATGTAAATAAAGTGTTGTTTCAAATTTGATTTGGTCAAACCACGAGGGATGGTTGGAAAAGCTCTCACTGTTGTATATAATAGGTTTGTTTCGTGGGGTTCATAGGTTACATCAAAAGTAACAGGGTTCGGACAAGCGGATGGATTACTGTCCCGATAATAGAACATTAATGTTGCTCTCAAAGCGTCTCTCATTTTCTCTTCCCCTCTCTCAACTCTCCTTCTCCCCCAATCCGTTTCTCTCTTTTCCGTACTGCCATGAGTACATTCTACTCTATTTGCAGTGATTGGGATTTGTATTAGTTGTTTCCTTTATGTTTATATTTGTATCTTTTGATCACAATATCTCACCAGTTTCTCTACGTAATATAATTATTCTTTAGCCTTTTCTTGATGTTCCCGTATGTTGATTTCTTGTTCCACCATTCTTTCCGCAGAGTCACTGCTTTTCCTTCAAATTTTCCTTTTTATTTCTAGGGTTTCTTCTTGTATCGTCGGATGTGATCTAATAAACCCTGTGAATGTAATGAATGTAAGAAGAAAGGAAGTATGGTGATGATGATCATGATGAAGATGACGGTGGTGGTAGTCGTTATGGTGGTGGTGATGGTGGAGGTGGTGGTGGTGATGGTGCATGGGGTGGTGGTGGTGATAGTGCTTGTAAATTCTATTTTGAGTTGAGTTCTGAGTTGATTAACTTTCCAAGTAAGCAATAGCAAGCCAATTATATTTTGTAATTAAGGAGAGCACTAATTTAACCCTCATTCTGCATGCCATGAGTAAAAGTGGTTGATTTTAAATGTGAACTGGGTGTGGAGGAACGGGTTGAAACATGAATGTTGTCGGTTAAATCAACGATGGATCACTGCTGTCATATGATTAGATGTGCTGAGTTCGAGACATAAATCAAATGCTGTTTCTCTCACAGCGGTCATGCAACTTTCTATCACAACAAAGAAAATAAAAACATAATGCTAACTCAACCTTGCGGACGCAAACATTCAAGTCCATTTAAAAACATTCGAGACTATTATCACTGGCTTATCCCACTGCGAAAACATTAACATAGACCATGTATAAGCTGGTCCACAAGCTTTCGTTCTTATGATCTACGATTGAAATTATAAATGTTAATTATCCAACCTACTTTAAAAACTTGGCAAGATAAATGTAAATTTCTAATACCAACAGACGACTATTGTGTAAATTCCACTAAATACCATAATGCGACCTTATGTATTGGTATGTTGGTAGTAAGGTATATATCACTAGCTGTTCTCTCGGTTTCCAACCAGTGTTTTTCTCCAAATATGTGTTTGTTTTTTTACGTATAATAATATAGAAGTCGTTGCTACAGTTAACAACTAACTTATTCATACCTCTTGTAAATTTGATTTTGTTTTTCGTAACTCAAGAAAGAAAGGTGGTCTGGTTAAATTACGGCCTTTGCTCTATACTTTTAGACGTAAGCTCTAATTATGTCACATTCTCAAGAAACATAAATTGGGACATCTTTATTTTTCAAGTACTTTTTAAAAGATAAGACTTGGTAAGGGTATGAATAATTTAGTTGTTATCTGTATGTCGAGATGCAACTTCTTTAT